AAGAAAGAGAAGGGTGATCAAAGACCTACTCCAAAGGGAAAAACCCGATATTGTGTTGTTACAAGAATCCAAAATGATGGAATTAGATGGGAGATGGGTGAGGAGTTTTTGGAGGTCTAGAGGTTTAGGTTGGAGCTTGTCTCCTTCTTGGGAAGCCTCGGAGGGGATCGTAACACTGTGGAGGGAGGATATGGTGGAAGTAGTGGAAGAATTGATAGGCATCAAGGGGCTATGGTCTGACCCTTGGTGCCTGGGCGGGGATTTTAATGTCATTAGATTCTCTGATGAAACCAGTAATCCCCAACAGGTAATTACAACAAGCATGAGGAAATTTAATGGTTTTATTGAAGAATGTGAATTGAAGGAAATACCTTTGCTGCAAGCCAATTACACTTGGTCCAACCTTCAAGAAATCCCTTTGTGTTCGAAGTTGGACAAGTTCTTGTTTAACCTTGTCTGGGAGAATAGTTTGGAAAACTTGGTTGCTAGAGCGTTACCCAGGGTCACCTCTGATCACTGTCCTATCCAGATAGGTATTGAGTTTTTTCCTACAGGACCCAAACCTTTTAGATTCGAAAATATGTGGCTTACCCATCCAGATTTTGTGAAAAAAGTGAAGGAATGGTGGGGTGAGGAGGAGAGGGGGTAAGATGGAAGGGGATCAAGTTTCATAAGAAATTAAAAAGGTTGAGAGCCAAAATAAAAGAGTGGAATAGAGATCATTTTGGTAGAATTGAGGAGCAAAAATTGTGCCTAATCTCTTGAATAGAAAACTTGGATGTAAAGAAATCTCAAAATGGGTTGACCGAGGAGGATAGAGTATTAAGGAGACAATTGAAAAAGGATTTGGAAGAGGTGTTACTGAGGGAAGAAATTAGTTGGAGACAAAAATCTAGACAAGTGGATTAAGGAAGGCGATGGGAACACTAGATTTTTCCATGATTTGGCAAATGGGAGACGAAGAAAGAATCTTGTGACCAAGCTAGAGATAGGAGAGGAGGTGATTACCAGCCAGTCGTGGAAGGGGTGGAATGGCCAATAATTGATGATGGAGTGGCAAAGTGGCTGGAAAGGGATTTCGAGGAAGAAGAGATTAAGAAAGGGCTTTACAATGGGTTTTTATCAAGACTGTTGGGAGGTGTTGAAAGAGGATTTAGTTGAAGTCCTTAAGGAATTTGCAGGCAATCACATTATAAGCCTTGGAATTAATGCCACCTTTTTGGCCTTGATACCTAAGAAATGATGCCAACCACCCAAAAGATTATAGGCCTATTAGTCTGGTGACAAGCATCTATAAAATTCTGGCTAAAGTGCTCTCGTTGAGGATCAAAACAGTCCTCCCTTCTATCATTAGTGAAACCCAGGGGGCTTTCATTCAAGGG